CCTCGCCCCCGAGGGGGGGGGGGGGAATTAATAACGATCGCTAATGGGCGCTTACGAAAGTTCGTCGGCGGCGCGGCGCGGCGGGGGGGGGGGGGCGCGTAGAGGGTTGCAGAGGGCGGATGACTTACTTTCATCCGGTCGATTAGATCGGATGGCGCGTGCATCGTGTCCATTTATCGTCAGCACATAGTGTGTCACGGTAACACGTTTGTACGTCGGTGTGTACGTTGAGTAGCGACCGCTTGTACGGAAATTGCGGATTTGGGTCGCTGACTGCGGGTGTTTTACATTACGGAATGGTGCGACTAAAGGGGCCGTTGATTAGCCTTCAGCTTCAGATCGATCCTCGACAGGTTCCAAAACGACGCCCTCCGATAATCATTACATATCGTCGATCTATGCTTACGTCGTCCCGCGATTGTACGTAGATTGAAAACGATATTACATCATATGGAGATATGGCGAATAATAAATCGAGAGAGTAAACTCCGCACAATATAAAATATGCTAAATGCATCGTGAGGAATGAAAAGGGAAATATTAATTTAATAACGCTGGAAGCTTAAGCGATAAAGCTTATTTGCATAATGCAGGGAAAATATAAAGATGCGAAGCGTAGAAATTATTATTATTTTTGGCGCTTTGCTCACAGTTAGTACATCCAGTTTGCATTATACGCGATAAATTTCTGTTGACCTGAAATGATTAATTTCATAATTGGGTTATGTTTAACTTTCACTCTTTGACTTTGCATTTTGGGGAAACGATCATTGAAATATTATTAATATGACGCTATTAAGCTTATCGCCTGCAGTGTGTAAATATTTGAGCTAAGATGATAATTACATAATACATAATTTCGAATTTCATTTCATTTTCACAACCGTATCATTAACGCTTTTCATAGTTTTGATATTCGTTACCGGGGTTATATTTCTGATAGATATCAAGAATCTAAACACTTCAGAATGCTGCAGAATTTGTCGAAATTGATTGGCACGTTAAAGAGAGTAACGACTATTTATAAAGCCATTTATCATCAAACTTGTTTCCGTCGTCTTGCTATCATCGCCCAATTAGATAAAATCTCGAGTTCACTTGCTGTGCATATCAGCGAGCTTTGTAGCATTGTTGCAAGCTTGAAAAATGAGTTTCTCAAACTTCTTTTTTCTCAGGCCACGAGACACAGTTAAGCTTTTTCTAATAGGGGAAACGAGGGTCGCGTGAAGTGAACTCGCGTGCCGCACGTTGTAAAGCTTTATCTAGATCGTTGCCTTCTTAGGTAACGTTATGATGTGCACGCCATTTTTTTTCCTTCGGCAATGCAGTTAGCTTTGTTCTTCCTCCGTTATATTATTTTCTCCCTTAAAAGTGTGACAATAACCGAATGCAGAAATGGCTGTGGAAAATACTCTTGTGGGTATCACACCAGTTCATCTTGTCACGTCGTAGCTGAATGCATCTTCTTATATTATCAACGTTATACGTACCTATCACGAAGACACACGATACTTTTGCAGAATGACGTTCGTATAATGCGGGGGTTGCGATATGAAATATGCTTCCTGCTGTAAAATACCGTGTCCTCCGGTTGCAAGTGTAGTTGCGATCTATTAAATATCATACTGGTAAATAAAAAAAGGGATATTGAGAATAATTTCCATAACTCAGTTATGAATGACTCGAACGCCAACTCGATCTGTTAGTGATCTGGTTACTCTCGGTTCATACGTGACAAATCTTGACGTGACCTTTTTTATTACATTTACATGCAGCGAGTAAGGATGTAACTACATCGGTAAAGAAATTACGTAATTACATATCAATTTTCTTTAAAGAACAAAAATCTGCACATTTTTAATAATTGATGTTCAATTCACATAGATTTCTTTATAGTTTAGTCTAATATTTAATTATAATTTAATTATATGTATAAAAATTATTTAAAATATTAATGTGTTAAACTTTTTAATCTCTCTCTGATTTGGTTAAACAGAGATAAAATCCATCAGTAATGATATATATATATATATATATATATATATATATATATATATATATATTATA